GATATTTTCGCCTAAAGTTTGGCCTGACTTACAAAGGCTATCAAGCAAATCAGTTCATTGTGTAATGTAAACCTCAGTTCATAGTGTAAACTTCAACAATAGAATAGCCATCAGTACCTCAGTGCACAAACTCTATTGTAAAGCTTCAATTATGTATGTCTGAAGTTTGAAATTCAGAATTTTTTTGCCTGAAGTGTGGCCTTATCAAAGCAAAATTTCAAATATTTCACATGAAGTTTAGTCTGACTTGCAAAGGTAATCGGAAAATCTCAGTTCATAGTGCAAACTTCAGACAAATTAGTCTGAAGTTCTTCAGTTTGTAGTACAAACTTCAAACAAGATCAGTGTCACGCCCCAAATACGGGGAGGCGTGACTGGCACCCGGTGTCGTACTGGCCCGAGCGAACCACTCTATAACTCATTTTTTTCTTCTAACTTTCATGGGCCAACATGGGCACAACTTGTAATGTACAACTATAAGTGGGCAAACGCTGTATTAATGAACCATCGTTCTTAAAACATGAATATATATGGACCGTCAAGGCCTCTGACATACTATACAAAATAAACCTCTGTCTCCAAAGCCTCTAAGATTATTTGACATCAAATGGGACAGGGTACCGGTCTACCTATAAGTCTGTAGCAAAACTCTGACACGATGACTTATAGACTCGGCTGCACTCTGAATGAGGTGGAGTCTTACAGAGCCCTCATTGAATGCTAACCTCGTCAATTATGAGGGCTCGTCAAACTAATTATCTATACCTACAGGCATGAATGCAGCGTCTCCAATAAAAGGACGTCAGTACGAATAATGTACCGATGTAAGGCGGAACTGAAACATAACAGTAAGTCAACATTAATTAAAGACATATAAGAATCAACATGAATATCTGAAGTGTCACCTTATATGCATACTTATTATACTTATATATATATATATATATATATATATATATATATATATATATATATATATATATATATATAATGCTTCTCTTTGAGACTATTATCCATATCTTATGATGCATGACTGCCCAACTGATCAATGGTAACTACCCGACCGGCGTAGTGCGGTAAATGCATGACTGCCCGAACGGCCGTAGCTCGATGGTAAATTTATAACTGCCCAACCGTTTGTAGCTCGGTGGTAAATACATGACTGCCCGACCGGCCGTAGCTTGGTGGTAAATGTATAACTGCCCAACCGGCCGTAGTTCGGTGGTAAATGCATGATGCATATAATACTATTACGAACATTAACATCTTTATTGAATGCCTTAATAGAGGGTTAGGAACATACTTAGGCATGCTTTGAATATCATTTTACAGGAATGAACAATGTAGACCTTCTTAGTTACTAAGAGTAGAACCATTTATGAAATAACATTACGTTTACGTATCGTTACTTTGATCATGCCAAAAGGAAAGAAGGGATAGCCTTAACATACCTCAATTCCATCTTTTGATGACTACGACTAGTAAATCCTTTTGATAACATCTAACCTCGAATGCTCGTACGAACTCGTTGAAGGTCGTAGACGTTGGATCAAACTTGGGTTGCATTCTTGATAGCTTCACGTTAATTTACATCACAATGAAGTAATACCCAATTCACTTTAAAACTTGTGAACAATATCACTAATTTGGGAATGGGACGTTGCTTACTATAAGAAAGAGAGATCATTAGATGCCATACAATTTGTCTTCTTAATAGCATCCTTTAAAAAATGAGATAAAGGTGTAAATGTCTTTAAACATTGCCACCGCCTCCTTAGCACATGAATAGTTAGCAATTTGTTGCCAAATTTCTATAATCCCACGCGGATGTTGCCCCTTTAATCATTATCCAAAAATCTCACTTAAATATTTATCCACAAATTTCTAATTAATTTGTTAACTTCTCACTCAAATCAATAATTAACCAATTATCCACATAATTAAGAATTATCTTAAATTGCTTAAAATACTAATCACTTTTAACACACTTTATATACCTTCCTATCATGATCATGTGGTATAGTACTAGTTCATAAATACGGGGTATTATAACTTAGATCGTATTTTATCCCAAAATGTCAACTTCGGCGATACTCAATTTCTTCGATTCGTTTACCCTCTGACCTTTATAACACTTACTTATCACTTGTTTGACACATCATAAATACTTATAACCTCGAAAATGGTCTTGTCTTCATCCTAAAGTAATACTATCAAAATAATAAAATATTAATAAATTAGGTACCATATAAAATCAATACATACACTATTATTTTATTAAAACATCCATGTAAAAATACATATATTTTCTCAACTTCTAATTTTTTTTATCTCATATAAAGAGTACAAATTTTCGTACGCCTAATTCTTAAAATGGTAAAAAGATAACCTTCTTTTCTTGTGAAAAAAATAATTTCTATCTTTACAATAAAGAAAATCTCATAAACTTTCTCCTATTATGTGTATAATTTAAAGTATATTCGGAAGTAGTAATATTAATAACTATATAAAATTATATTTTTCAAGCTTTTTACAAAAATGTTCCACTCAAAATACCATATCAAATGTATATAACGGTAACAAACTTACGGGGTCTTACAATAACATAGTCGTAAATCCTCTATAATCTCATGAATGGTCTTAATCCCTTCAAGCACATATGGATTACTACTACTCATCCTAATATTAAAGTACGGGATGTAACAATCAGTTTGTTATATTTGAACTTCAAATGATTTTTTCTGAAGTCTGGCCTAACACTTGCAAACTTCAGACAAAGTTTAACCTGGTAACGTCTGAAGTTTGGCCCTGCAGTCCCAAACTTCAGACTCATATATTTGAAGACGTTCAATAATTGAGTCCAGGATACTTCTTGAGTTTTACGCTCGGACAATGTTCAATCACATTTCCAACAAGGAATGCAGGTCTCACTACAAAAAATTCGCTATTTTCCGACTACCAAAATAGTCGGAAAGTAGTCGGAAAAGTACTTATTTCGACTACTTTCCGACTGATTTAGAGTAGTCGGAAAAATATTGGTCGGAAAATATTTTCTGACTACTGTAGTCGGAAATTTCCGACTATAGTAGTCGGAAAATATTTTTCACCAAAAATTAGAAAATGCAGCTATTTTCCCGACTGAAGTAGTCGGAAAATAAGAAAAAACTATTATTTATTTTAAAAAATATTCCCGACTACTGTAGTGGGGATATTATACAAATAATAATTATTTATTAATTATTTTATTATATTTTCCGACTACAGTAGTCGAAATCTGTATTATTCTGGCCTCATTTTCTGACTATTGTAGTCGGAAAATCATTATGCTGGGCACACTTTTCGACTACAATAGTCGGAAAATTGGGTTAAAATTTGACAGAATGCTGCCATTTTATTAGCACATCACCTGTCAAATGCAAAATATTATAAACAACAAATTCAACAAGCCAATTCCAACTAAACAACCAACTCAACAAATCAATTTCAACTACACAACCAATTCCAACTAAACAATCTAATAATCAAACCAACCAATTCCAACATCAACAAACAAACATTCAAATCCCATAATATCAAACCAAAACATTACTTAACGTCTAAATATTCAATATCAAGTCTGAGTAGCTAATACATATCGACACTAATATAATAAAGTCTAAGCATATATATACCACATCATTCAAATCTACCATAAAGTCTAAATATAAAATTTAAACATCCAAGAACAGTAATCAACCTTAAATCACTACTACACATCAGAATCAGTCTCTTCTTCATCATAAAAGTGGGGCATGTATTTTTTTCATGTATTTATCCATTCTAGCAATGTGAGCTTCGGCCGTCTCACATCGTTTCGACAACAATTCAATATTCTTTTGCATTGCTCCCATTTCTTCCTGATTTTGCGCAGTAGGAGCATCCGAAACTAATGGCGATGGACGAAAAGAGGAAGGTCGTTGTACTCCAAGCCCGTAAACTCTTCCTTTGGATACACCACCTGCTACATCCGTCCATATTGAAGTCATAACATCGGGTGACGGTTGGATTGGGGTACCATCATCAGAAGTAGGCTGCGTCTGACACCATTCATCCAAGCTTCTATGATATCCATCCTGAAATAAAAGTAATAAGGATTATATAAATAAATTAATATCAAAGTGAAAATAGTCTTAAAGTTATGATCTTACATATTGTTCCGATGCACGTGTCTCAACCTATCCTTCTCTTGAACCGTCTTTCTTCCTTTTTTTATGTGTCTCCGCAAAGACCTCAGCATGAGACACTGGTCCCCCTTTTAACTTTTCCTGCAATAAAAATTGTAATTTTTCTAGTGATGTCCAAATAAATGCCACATCGATAACATTCTCAAGTGAAGAGTGCATAATGCAACAAGAGTCAAGAGAAAGTCTATATATATAAGGATTAACTAGTAGTAACTATTAGGAGTATAACTTTTCTGATAATTTAACTTATTTGATAATTTAAGGAGTATAACTTATCAGAATCTTGGAAATATAGAAAAGTCCAACTGAGAACTCTAGAAAGAGTTTAAGCTAATGAATTTTCTTGGAAAGAACTTATTCCCAAAAGAAGTTAAGAAGATGTAGTGAAATTAAGACCTTTCAGACAACAGAATGAGAGAAGAAATAGGAAAATGATGGAGTTTGAAGGAAGCTGATGGGAACCAGTATACCAAATGACAGTGGTAACAGATGTATCAGTGAATCGTGGTTGGATTAATTATATGAAATGACGAGTGGAAAGAATGTAATGGTGGTGTGAAGACTGTTTGGGTGCAGAAGGAGTGTTGAGAGTAAGCTTGGGCTGCTCTGTATCCTCCTAAACAAATCATGGAGTTCGGTCTAATTCCCTGCGACATCTTTCCATGATTTTCTGAGTGAAGCCTTAATATCATATATTTTAGCTTTTCTACTTAGCAAAACTACAACGTGGTTGGGGAGTACAAGCTACACTCATTTACTCGTATTTTTGTGTCAACAATGGCTTCATTCACAATCACTGAAGCGGTATTCTATCTTTATGATGGAAGGTTCTTTGTTGACTTTCATGCACATCATTCGATCAGATACGAAACAGGAAGACAAATTCAGATGTTTAAGAGCCCTGCTGGGTGTATTATAATCATACACAAGTGTAAATTCTTACTGAAGCGTACTGAAAACACTGCTATTTTGGAAGAAAAAAGGAAGTGCGGCTGCTCTTTCCTCAATATCTGCTATTGCTGGTTCTTTCAGTACTCTCTGTACCAATAGAGGGTGTTAACTACATAAGTTTGGGCATTCAATAGTCACTAAGACCGTAGTTTGTAGTCTAATATATTATACATAGGCGAATTTAGGACATGTCCTATTGGTTTGAGTCAATCTGTTATTTTTTACTCGAATATATGTATATATACAAATTATGCATATAGTAAGGTTGAGTTCATTCTAAACTCTGAAGTCTATTATATATAGTGATAGTGCTAACTCAATAGCAAAGCAGAGTTGGCTACTGAGAATAAGTCCTAACTTCTAAGCCGCGCCTACTCCTTTAAAACCCCTCTATTCTTGGACCATAGGACTAATTCTGATGCGACCATCCAAAAATATAGAAGGAAACTGCTCTTAATATATTCAATTCAGGATATTGGCAGGAGCAATAACTTAAAAGTCTAACTAGGCTAATCAGCAAAGAGGAGGAAAAGGAGTGGCTACTTGGTGGTATGGATTCCTTACAATGGAGTTCTGACAGTAGAAGGATTTCTTTGTGAAATCCAGTTATAACTATTTATCTGATGTTGGTAGAATAGATCCTTGACCTTTGCAATTCTTTAATATATGTTGGAGCATCTTGAATTTACCAAAACCAAGATACCTTCATTCATATTTGGTATGTTTGAATAGGTATACTAGTTGGGTTAAGGTCTACTCATGAACTCTCAAGTGGCATCCAGGATAATACGCATTTCTATATTTTATTTTAAAAAAATGGCAACTATAATTAAGAACCTACAAGATGTTTAGATGCATGGATAGAAAGACTTTTTCTATTGAACGCAACATGTCTGGAAAGATACAATAATATGGGCAGAAAATATGACAATTCACATGAAAACCCGCGATAACTAGTATAAAAGTAGAGGTTTTCTTTTTCATTTCACTACTTTTTCTATTGAACGCAACATGTCTGGGAAGATACAATAATATGGGCAGAAAATATGACAATTCACATGAAAACCCGCGATAACTAGTATAAAAGTAGAGGTTTTCTTTTTCATTTCACTACTTTTTCTATTGAACGCAACATGTCTGGGAAGATACAATAATATGGGCAGAAAATATGACAATTCACATGAAAACCCGCGATAACTAGTATAAAAGTAGAGGTTGTCTTTTTCATTTCACTTAGCACAAGTCAACTATTTTTCGTACTCTCGGGTCAGCACCATAAAATTTTGACTATCAATTGTGATTTTCCTTGGAATTGTCTTTAAAGACGCTTGCCATTTAAATTGTTCATGGATTGAAATCAAGGGTTAGCTGTTTCTTTCTTGTTAAATGACTTCAGAATGTTGTTCTACTGGACACATTTGTATCAGGTCACCTGAATTAATTTTTAGAAACCTGCCTAATTATGTGAGATACCTGTCTAATTCTTATACTGGAAATATTTGTATCAAAACATCTGAATTAATTTTCAGATACTAATTCTTGATGTCATTATTTGTATCCATGACATCCACCTTGTGTACATTTTCGGAGAATGAACATTGCATGTTCAGATATATTTACTCTTTGATGCAACATATGTCATTAAGACCCTTCTACTTCGTTGGACAATGATGGAGCAGTCTTAGATATGGGATGAGAACATAAGATCCTGTTTTTTTCTAAATGCATTACTTAAAGGCTCGCGTCAAACTAAGAACTCCTTCCTTTTCCATTCCTTGGGCTCCATCTCTCCATCCTAAGGCTATAGATATGGTATTCCCTCTTCTTCTTGCTTCAAGTCATTGAAGGATAAAAATGATCCAACAATTCCACATTAGTCCATTGCACTCGTCTTATCCTTAACTTTGGAAAGTTGTTCTAAGTTTCCTAACATGATTTCTACATTGTTATGTTGTTGCTCGGCCATCCGTCTCCTATTATGACTACCCATAATCTAACTTTCTACAATGACCTGTATTCTTATCTCGTAACAAATATCTTTACGCATTTATAGAAAGAAATGCACACATGCACTCCCAGATGCACGCACGCACACACACACACACATATATACTACTCTGACATTTCATCACTATACAGGCCAGATTGAACTTTTTTTCACATGTTCCTGTGCTGAAGAACTTTGTGGAACACCTAAGGCGTAAAAATTTTAATGTTTGTGTTGTGTATTTACTTGATTCTCAGGTGTGTGATCTTTACTAGTTGATTTTCTTCTTCTCTTTTTCCTTCTCTTGCTATTAACCATGGCGTTTATGTTCTTATTGTATCTCAGTTTATCACAGATGTGACCAAATTCATAAGTGGTTGCATGGCTTCACTCTTTGCTATGGTTCAACTTGAACTATCCCATGTTAACATTCTCTCAAAAATGGATCTTGTGACAAACAAAAAGGATGTTGAGAAGTTAGTCCTACTACCTCTAACTATTCGTTTCATGTCTTTGGCACTTTCAACACATGCTCCCGCTAATTGTCTTTGTTATTTTAGTGTATTAAAATTTATTTTCCCTTTAGTTACTTGGATCCAGAGCCTCATCTGTTATTAGCAGAGTTGAATCAGCGAATGACTCCACAATTTTAGAAGCTTAACAAATCTCTGATTGAAGTGGTAAGCTGTGATAATTATGATTGAAGTGGTAAGCCTGGTATAAAAAGGATAAAGTTTGACAACCAACATGAAGATAGTCAAACTATCATGAATTCGTGGATACTTGGGATTGAAGTTAATCAATACAAAAGGCAGTCCAACGACGAGGCAGGTTAACCATACCATTGCACTACACCTACAAGACACGAAAGGGATTCCCTTTTGTTTTTTTTTTGTTCACTTGTACATATCTCAGCTTTTAATACAATTACCTTCAAATTCAAAGAAACAGTATACAATAATTTCACTTCTGCTATAGTTATCACGTATTCAACCAACTGTAATCACCAAATTTGATGGTAGACCTAGTGAATAGTCGTGGCAACACTAATTTCTATAAGAACATATATCTATGTCAAGAAACCAGTAGTACTTAATTAAGACCTTGGCAGATTTTGACAAAGAATTGTGAAGAGAATGAAAAGCTCTGATTAAAATCGAAACCCTAGTGGTGCCGTTGATTTTGCACACTAAAATCGAAACTCTAGCCTTGGCCGAAGATTAGACGGGAAAGAGAGAGAGGGAGAGCGCGTACCTGATGAAGTCCCATCGCCGATTTTGCCGGCGCCGTTGAGAGAGAGGCGAGGAGATATAGAGAAAGAGACACAGAGAAAGAGAGAGATTGTGAAAAAAAGAATTAGAAAATAAGGGTTAGCGGAAAATAACTTAAAGTTTTCGACTACTGTAGTCGGAAATTATATATTATTTAATTAAAAAAATTTCGGGGACCACTTGGTCAAAAGTGTTTTTGACTTTACTATCTCATGTTTCGACTACAGTAGTCGGAAACTTCTACGCGCGCAATTTTCCGCGAAAATTTATGATTATATTAGTCAAAAACGTATTCGGAATAATTTTTAAAAATAAATTAAAAAATAAATATGACATTTCCGACTACAGTAGTCGAAAAATTGCGACTGACATTTTGTAGTCGGAAAAAAGGTATTTTCTGGTAGTCTAAGAATTTCAATCAAATAATTTTGAATTCACAATCCTAAAATTTCATATTTAAATACCCAGATGATTTCAAGAATAGATCTTCAACATCTCAATCACTGATTTGAGTTTTCAAGTTTCTTTAATGGTGATTTTAGTTCAAAACTCATATTGTAGTGCTAAATCATTGTGTATTTCATATCCAATCAATAATACTTGCACAGAATTTCATGTGTTTGAGAGAGAAAAGAAGAAGAGGAGTAAGAAAGGAGCGCACATATCACAGGAGGAAGAAAATTAGGCGACAACTGGTCTGAAGTTATTAAAATTAGAGTATAAGTTAAATAATTTTAAAGTATGAATATATGTTAAAGGAGCTGTAGAACTAACAATTTATGATAGCTACAAATATCTACATAAACATAAAGTCGTACCTAAGCTAAATCAAAGGCAAGGGTGGTACTCCACTGGAGCTGAAATCTACGCATTGATTTTATATTAAATGAGAGATTATAATTATACTATCATGCATCAACAAACAAAAAAAATTAAGAACAAATAAATTCCTTATCAAATAAAAGGAAGTATAAATTAAGAAGAAAAAAAGAGAGGTGATAAGCTAAAAAGAAAGAAACATATCATGAGATAATCAAAAGTACATAGCCAAAGTCCCCACCCCTCTCTCACTGTCCTTTTTCTTCTTCTTCCCCTTTCCTTACTCCAATAAGGGTATTCCTATATATAACCCCCACCCCCCCACCCCACCCCACCCTCTCTCTCTAACCAACAACTGCAAAAACCCCTCCTTTCTCTAACCAACAACTGAAAAAGAAATCTTTCTACTTTCTCTCTCTTCCCATTCACACCTATCTTCTCTCTCTCTCTCTGAAGGTAGTAGCTCCATGAGAAGAGCTTAGCAGAGTTTAGGGGAAAAAAGAAGAAGATTTTTCATACGGAAAAAGAAAGGGGGACCAGAAAGAGAAATGGGAAAGTACATGAGGAAGTCAAAAACTACAGGCGAAGTTGCTCTTTTAGAGGTGAGTCACACACAGTCATCACCTCTTGGTGTCCGTACAAGAGCTAAAACCCTAGCTCTTCAACGCTTGCAGAAATCGAACTCAACCGGAAACGGAAGCGGCGGTGATGGTGGTGGTGGTGGTGGGTCCTACCTTCAGCTGCGGAGCCGAAGGTTAGAGAAACCAAACAAGGAAGGGAAAAGACAGAAATACCCTTTGAAAGATCCTAATTTACCAAACCCTGTAAAGAATAATCAGAGTTCGAAGACGAGTTCTACTAGGCTGAGGCAAGGGCATTCTTGGAATTCTGTGTCTGTAGAGGAGCGTTTGGGTGACGAGAAAAAGGAAGAAATTAATTTGCAGGAAACCCAGAATGAAATTAAGGATAATAGTTGCGGTGAAGGGGGAGTTGAAGCTTCATTTGGAGAGAATTTGTTGGAATTTGAAGGTAGAGAGAGGTGGGTTTTCCTAACTTTTTTTTTTTTTTTTTGGCTCAATTTTAACCAGTATGCATGTCACTATTTTTCTCTTTTTTGTGAAAATTAGAGGGTTCGAAATTTCTACCAAAAATCTTTCCTTTTTTTTGAAAATTCCCGTCCTCCTTTATATATTTTTGGTTTTCTTATTGAAAAAAATTTATTTTTTTTTGTTTGTCTCAGTTTTAGCATTAGCTGAGTATCTTGTTTATCCTCTGTTCATTGCTTAATACTAGAAATCTTTACTTTATTGAAAATTGACCCCCTTTTGCTTTTTGTTTTTTTGGGGTTGGAGGTTTAGAATTTTGCTTTTTTAGTTTTTTTTTTTTTGAATTACGAAATTTTTAGCTGAATCATTCTTCTTCTTCTTTTTATTTTTGTGTCAGTTTTTAGGATTAGCTGAGTATCCTGTTTATACTCTGTTCATAGGTTAATTAGAGAATCCAATTTTCTAAGAAGTGAAAGCTTTTGGTTTATTTTCTAGTCTGGATTTTTTGTAATTGGGTTTCAATAGAAAGGTATTTTCCTTCTTGATTTTTTTTTTTTAAAATTACTGCCTGTTTTTTGGTTCTTTCTCTTGTGCTTTAGTATTAATGGAGTGTTGGTTTTTGCTTCTTCTTCTTTTTATCCTTTTTATCCTTTTTTTTGGTAATGAATGCTTACCGGTAAAAAGTGGAAAATGCACAAGATGAAAATTGTCTTCTAGCCGTATTGGTTCACAGGGAATTTCTAGAAATGAAGTCACTTCACACAGCTTTCTTCCTTTCATTTCCTTTTTTTCTTTTTGGGTATTGAGAGTCTGACTTGCTTGATGCTGTTAAGAATTTGCTTATGTTCTGCATTTGGTTACAATATCACCACTAGTTCTGTTGTTGATACAAACTTCATACTATATATTAATCCTATCATGAAAATTGCCTTTTATGTGTGTGTGTGTGTGTGTTCTTTTAACTGGAGTAAAATCACCCCATTCCCTGATTTCCTGAAATGCTAGAATTTTCCTTTTTTCTTTTTCCTGTTCCGTGTCATAATCGTCTCTCCATGTGTAGAAATTGAATAGAAGAATGAAATATCTGTATTATCTTCTTGATATGTCTGGTGACATCTTACATGTGAGAGCAAAATTGGTGGTTTTATCAAATCTGCAAAAAAGTTTCCTGGTTTAGTTACTACTATTTCTCATCCAAAATCCGCTTTAACTACCAAAGATTCGATAAATTGCTCGTTATACCATCTTCCTTTGCACCATTCATGATCATAACACCCTCAGCATGACAGTAAGACTGAATTATTAGCCGAGGGTCTATCGGAAACAACCTCCTTGCCCTCCGAGGGTAGGGGTAAAGCTGCATACATCTTAACTTCCCTAGACCCCACTCGTGAAAATCCACTAGGTATCTAGTTGTTGTTGTAAGACTGAATTATCGAACCACAAATGGCATTTGATGTGACATAGTGAGTATGATATAAGGTACTTAGATGAACTCAGTTCCTGATTGTTCTACCTATTAAAGAGAAATACCTATCAAAATGACAAATAGCTGCACTACTACACCTACATATTTGCAGTAACATTGTACATCTTATGGTCCTTGAAAATTCCATGGTGAAAAAAGTTTAGTGTCTGTACCTGCATGGTGCATGCATATTGGTACCATTTCTGCTTAAATTTTAAAGAGTTGCAATCATTGTTGGGATCATTTACCATTGAAAATGAATGTAGGGTACCCTATATGATTGGAGCATTGAATGGATAAGAGGGAGAAAAAAGGGCAAGCCTTTTTTCTTCTTTATTTGTGGAGGCGGTGAAGGAAAGAGGAACTTTTCTGACAGCCACTAATTAAATTCCTTTTATTCATTTTATCTCTTTCTTTTATATTTATTTTTGTCTGCAATCAGAAATGTGTTCTTTATTCTATTTGAGAAGGGCTACCTTTGAGGTTAAGGTTTAAATTTTGAACTAGTATTTATGATTAGTACTAATAGAGGTTTTACACTTTCTCTTATAGGACCACTAGGGAGAGCACACCTTGCAGTTTGATCCGGGACGCGGATAACATACAAACCCCTGGTTCCAGTACAAGACCTACCAATGCAACTGAAGATAACAGCAGAGTGTCAAATTCAACGCGTCGACATATCCCAACAGCTCGTGAAATGAATGACTTCTTTGGTGGTCCAGAAGAGCAGCAGCAGAGACAGTTCATTGAGAAGTATGGATTTGCACGACTCGCCTATTTTAAGTGCTGGTTCTCAATTGCACTGACATATACATCCGCTTCATCAAATTGACCGTGTTTTTAATTGGTATGCAGGTACAACTTCGATCCAGTGAACGACAAGCCCCTCCCTGGACGTTACGAATGGGAGAAAGTAGATCGTTAGATATCGACATTATGGTATCGACCTCTCATGAAGGCTTGTCCTGCATTTTCTTGTTTGATCTTTAGGTCTAGATAAAAGGTGTAGGAAAAGAGCAAGGATTTTTAGTCCTAATTGGTGATGGTGATATTTTGTTCCAGTCACCCCTGTAAAGAATTTAGGGCAGCATGTTCTAAACCTGTAGACTAATGATCTGTAACATAACAGAGTTTGTGAATTTACACAACAAACATAAGGAGATCCTTTGTCTAACAGAGAAGGGGTTGTGTTAGTCATAGTGTTGTAACTTGTACTAATTAGACTTAGTCTTAGCAGTACAGGAGATAAGTCTACCAATCTTTGTTTCTATTATCATGTAATCCCCCCCCCCCCCCCCCCCCCCCTCCAAAGAACAAACTTTCTTGTCAATATTATGAATAAATTCAGCTTTAAAGTTTACCTTCTTGATCACTGTCTTTTTCTCTATCTTGTTCTGAGGAAATGTATGGTTGGTTTTTGGCTTGTTTCTCCACATATGAGACAATGTATCTTTCATAATCTCAACTTGCTGTTGTCCTACACTGTGAGGATGAAAGTTGTTCTTGCTGCTAATTGACACCAGCCATTTTTCAGCAGCTTGTGAGAAAATGGTGGGGTTTCTCTTTGTTTGGTGGGCATGTGTTGGAAGATTCTTTTTTTCTATCTGTTGAACTTTTTCTGTATTACTGAAACTGCACTTCTATATGATTGATTTGCATATTTTGTTCACAAACTGAAAATGCAAAAAAGGGAAAGACTTTGAAAGAATTAAGTGAAATTTTAATGAAGTGGTGGTCAGGGCTTGAAATAATGAAAGAAATGAGACTGAATTGAATTGTGTTGTGTGAAGACTGAAGATAGTTAGAGTTATACTGTTTCTTTACCCCACTCTTCCCTATAAGAAACAAAATATTCTCATTCTTGTCCTTTTCCACTATCCTATTACTCAAGTAGGGACTAACAATGGATGCCATTTTGTTGTAACCTTGAACATAAAGAGGGAGAAATTTGGAAAAGATTCCAGTAACTTTTGAACATAGAAGAGAAGGGTATTTTGATGAAATGGAATGTTGATAATAACTATAAGTAGTCATTTAGTATAATGGATAAGCAAAAATACTTCTGGGATACAAATTTAGTATTGATTTATTTTTTGTTTGGTTACTAATCCTAGAATAAGTTATCTATGGATTAAAATTATTGGGATAATTTATACGATAAAGCAGTAAAATTGACAATCCTATAATTAATACAACATATCAAACGGTCAATAAGAAATAATATTAAGATACATAATCCAAGCATAACTAATCTCAATATAACTTATTTTCAAACTATATGACCCCTAACAGTGAAGTTATAAGTTTTCCTCAGTATACTAATAAAATTGTTATATTCTACTTACTATACTAGTAAAATCACAATTAGATTTTATTGTTATAGTGAATAAAGTTTATTGACTTCTTTTTATATATTTTTTTTTTGTAAGAGAGAAATCCGCAGCCGCTACAATCTTTGCCACAACCTTTGTCCTTCGGGTGAGCACTCTGTGCGCACTGAGTAAACCTCCCCATGTGTAACAGCCTGCAAACCACACAGGAGATGTAAACCGCACTAGGCAAGCACTGTACGACAGGCTCAACCCAGAAGGCATTGAGGGGATTCGATCCCAGGTCATTCCGTATGGATGACCGCCCTTCGAACCAACTGGCCAATCAAGAAGGTTACTTTTTTTAATATTTGATGCACTACTTATGCTGAAAAAATTGACAAGACTAAAAGCACTTGACCATGTAATCAAAGGACACAGAATGTGCTTTCTTCAGTAATCCCAAGAAAATAAGGTTAGAAAGTTAGGCAGCTTCTTGTCCCTTCACCATTGTTGAAAATAATGTAAAAAAGTAAGAAGTGAGGTGAGTGAGAAAGCATATTCCTTTGGACAACAAATTGTCTATTGCTGGTTGAAAACTATTTCCAAACAAATTATCTAAAATATTTTAGTAAATTAAATTTGAAAAAGCATCTGAATGATGTATTGAGGAAAAAAGTGAGGATTGTAGTTGGTGGATTATAGTGGTGTTATATTATTTCTTTAATGGCATCATCAATTATGTGAAATGATTCTTTAATAGCATAATCAATTATGTCAAACTAAGGAATTTTCAATTTCCAATAACTCTCTTTGCTAGATTACAAAAATGGGAATATTACTTAAAAATCTTCCTCTGATTTCTTAAGTGGCCATTGATTAGCTTTTTAACCAATGGTTCTTTCTTGTTTGAACATATTGCCTCCCACAATAAGTTTGCGTTTGACTGCTTGGCACTTACCATTCCATTATATTTTAGGTCAATTATTCTTGCCGTTAGCATATTATCTCGTATTTATCTTTAACTTTAATTAAGCTTCATCGTGAACTGAAAATTTTATGTGTCAAAATATCAAGGAAAACGGTCCAAAATTATCTTTCTACTTTAAATTATGGTTTGACATTATCCTTTATTATACTTCAAGTTGAAACTCTATTAAAGTTAAAGAGTAAATACGAGACGATTTACCAACGTCAAGAATGAAGTGACCCAAAGTTAGATGTGGTTTTCTTTTTTAAATTTATTCATGTCCTTTGTGATCTTCAGATTACCCAAGCTAGACTTAGAACCGTTTGTTCATTAAAAAATTCCTTTTTTTTTTCGAATTCTTTTTTTAAAAACTATGTTTGTCCATAAAAATTTATAAATTTTTGGAGATTTTTCGAAAACAAGTTTTCAAAAACTTCATTTTTTCGGATTTTTTCTCCACTCGTAAAACTGCAATATTTTTTCCTAGTGAAATGTATATACATAATTTTAAATCCCAAATACTATTTTTTAACTTAACTCCAAATACTATTTTATTTTAAAAATTAAAATTTTATGTCTAAACGTCTACTTAAATATGAGGCGAGAACCCACATAAATAGGTGAAACATTTTCACTTTTTCAGATTTTTTTTCCACTCTTTTAAGATTCATCTCATTTTGGAACTATTTTGGTTGTTTCAATGGAAAGGCGAGACAAGTATAGTCCCACTTCTGCAATAGGTTTTGGAAGCTAACTGTAGAAAAGGGTATGGGGATGAATTCACAATGTGGAGATTTGTGCTCATCTGGTAATCATGAAAGTACTAAGGTCAGATATTGTCTTTCTCCCCTCCCAAAATAATTAATTTTTTCGGCCGATAGTATTAAAGAATTTTGTACTATTATGTTATATTGTCACTATAGATATATAATTTTTGACCCTTCCCGAGATTTTATACAATTTAGTATTTAAATATTTAGTTTAGGTTTAATATCGATATTTTAAATAGTTTTAACTTTTTTACTTTATTTTATCACAAAAATAAAAATTACAAAAATATTTTTCATCTTTAATTTAAGGTCAATTAGTATATTTATATTTATAGTATTTTAATTTCACTGTGGATTTAGCCTATTCTTCTTACTTTTTACTTTATTATAACATCTGAAAAATACAAAAAAATTAGTTTCACTTTTAGTATTTAGTTTTATATTAGTTTATTTTAACTAAGAGTGATTTTTACACTTTATAGATACATTGTATTATTTGGTCTTCTTAGCTTAAATTCAAACTCAAAAGACATGGTCCAACCCAATTTTCTAAATCCAAGCCCATTTATCCATTCCCCTCTTATATCCTAATTAAAAATAACCCTAGAAAAACCTAGAAGCCCTACCCAGCCGTTTTGGACCCATCTTCTGAAGAGCAGACCTAAGACCTAATCCCAATTCCCTTTTGAAGAGCCAGTCGTTCCCTTGGATCTTCTTCACACCCCATAACAACAAAAAAAAAACCCTCGAACCCCCTTAACTTCAAACACTACACACCCAAAACACCCTTCTTCTTCCCAAGCAACGAACAGCGACCCTACTCTCTCACACAAAACCCAGCCGCAAACCACCCTATATCTTCCACAACTGACCGCCGCTGTCCCCCACCCCAAGAGAAAGCAAATTCCAGCCGCCCAGACGGACTATACACACATACACGATCAGAAAATTAAAAAAAATAGATCTAAGAGGAGCGGACGAAGGAGAGGAGCACAACAAAAATATTTCTGCTTCTTCGCTTCTAATTTCAGATGTCTGTTGCAAAAATGGGGTTTGATTGAGTCGAGTTCGTCGTTGTTGTCGCTCATTGTTTGAGTTTTCCGGTCAAGGTTCTGTTGCTCTTGTTCGGAGGTTTGTTGAATATTTTGTTTAAGAATTATTCACTGCTCGATTTTGCTCAACTTAGTTGCTGTAATTGTTGAGGTTCATTCTTCTCCTCTCTTCTATTTTTTGCATTGTTAATTTGTGTGTTGTGACAAATACTTCAACAACTTTTTTATTCTGGGTTTGATTCTGCCTCCATTTTGCCTTTCTTTAAATGGTCTCAACATGGTTATCAGGTTTACCACCCTCTTGACCATTTATTCAAACTGCTTATTTTGTTAGTCAATGATAAAAGATACCCAAAGGTTCGATCGTTATTGCATGATTTTGTTAAGTATGGGAAAACCCATACAGTTTCTTCTGTTTTTCATACACTCTTGACTGGTAGCGATAATATTTGTGCTAATTCTATTATTGTTGACATGTTGGTGTTAGCTTATGTTAATAATGCTAAGCTGGATTTAGCTGTGGAGGCTTTCAATAGAGCTGGAGATTATGAATTTAAGTTATCTGTATTTTCGTGTAAACCGATGCTTAAATGGGTTGTGGGGATTGAACATCAAGAATGAAAATTGAATTTATCATGTTAATTATTCTACTTTATTTGCTTGGATTGATAGTAGCGTACTTAGGTCGATAATATTCATAAACATCGTAGCTTGCTTTAGGCGCGATTAATAATAAATTATTGTGGCCATGGGTACGGTTCCCGTGGCATAGTCATGATACATAATCCCAACTCTAGTGTGCGTGTCACGTGACTTGACCAATTTCGAACCATTAATAAAATAAACATGTTATAAATCGCGGGTGCATTTCATGTGACGCGATTCGCGATGTGTTCAAAACGACAAGTGTACGACGATCGTGCCTTGTTCCAGAAAACAATTCCATAAACACTAAAAATGGTTTAAAAGTTAAAAATGCACGTAGGTTTAAAATGTGTAATTAATCAGATAATTAGGTTAATTATTAATAGTTGAGCGACCGTGCTAAAACCACGGAACTCGGGAGTGCCTCACACCTTCTCCCGGGTTAACAGAAACCCTTACCCGGATTTATGTGTCTCGCGGACTATAAAACAGAGTCAAAATTTCCTCGATTTGGAATTTTAA